ATGTTGATCACCCCACAATGAGACTATTGTGATGATAATATTTAACATCTACTCTTTTAGTAATTTTCAAGCATATGTTATTATTAACTATAGTCACTTTGCTGTATAATAGATCTCCAGAGATTACTCATCCTATTTAACTGAAACTTTATACCTTTTGACCAACATCTCCCCATCCCTACCCCTAGCCCCTGGTAACCCCATCCTAGTCTTTTAAAAAAAATTTAATTTGGGGGGTACATTATATTTATATATATTTATGGGGTCCCTGTGAAATTTTGTTATATGTGCAAAATATGCAAGGATCAAGTCAAGATATTTAGGGTATCCATTCTTGAGTATTTATCATTTCTATGTGTTGGATACATTTAAGGTCTTCTAGCTATTTTGAAAAACGCAAACATTATCATTAATTATAGTCACCCTACTCAGCTATAGTAGTAGAATTTATTCCTTTGTCTAACTGTATGTTTGTACCCATTTACCAACCTCTCTTCATCCCCATCTCCCACCCATGCATCTTTCCCAGTCTCTGGTGTTTAACATTCCACTGTCTACCTCCATATGATCACTCTTTTAGCTTCCATATATGAGAGAGAACATGCAGTATCTATCTTTCTGTGCCTGGCTTATTTCACTTGACATAATGACCTCCAGTTCCATCCATGTTGCTGCAAATGACATAATTCCCTTCTTTTTTGTGGCCGAATGGTATTCCGTTGTGTGTATATACCACATTTTCTTTATCCATCCCTCCACTGATGGGTATTTCGGTTGGCATGTATCCCTTTGATGTGTTGATTTATTTTCCTTTGGAAAAATACTCAGTAGTGGGATTGCTGGGTCATATGATAGTTCTATTTTTAGTGTTTTTGAGAAATTTCCATAATTTTTTCCATAGTGGCCATACTAATTTACATTCCCACCAACAGTGTAGAAGAGTTCCCTTTTCTCCACATCCTCATCAACATCTGTTATTTTTTACCTTTTTAATAATAGCCATTCTAACTCGGGTGAGATAATATCTTGTTGTGGTTTTGATTTGCATTTCCCTGATGATTAGTGATGTTATGCAGTTTTTCATATACCTGTTTGCCATTTGTATGTCTTCTTTGGATAAATGTCTATTCATATCCTTTGCCCCTTTCTTAATGGGATTATTTGTATGTTTGTTTTCACTGGTGAGTTGTTTGAGTTCTTTGAATATTCTGGATATTAGTCCCCTGTCGGGTAAGTGGTTTGCAAATATTTCCTTTCTCTTTACTCTGTTGATTATTTCTTCTGCTATGCAGAACATTTTTAATTTAATATAGTCCCATTTTTTAAATTTTTGTTTTAGTTTCCTGTCTTCTGGAGGTCTTAGCCATAATATCTTTGCCTAGACTAATGTCCTGAAGAGTTTACCCCAAGTTTTCTTTTAGTAGTTTTATATTTTTGGGTTTTATATTTAAGTCTTTAATCCATCTTGAATTGATTGTTGTATACAGTGAGAAATAGGGGTCCAATTTTATCATTCTGCATATGGTTATCCAGTTTTCCCAGCACCATTTATTGAAGGGGGTGTTAAGAGGGTTTCCTTTCCCCAATGTGTGTTCTTCACAGCTTTGTCAAAGATGAGTTGGCTGTAAACATGTGGGTTTATTTCTAGGTTCTCTATTCCATTGTATTGGTCTATATGTATACCATGCTCTCTTGTTTACTATAGCCTTGTAATATATTTTAAAGTCATATAGTATGATGCCTCCAGCTTTGTTCTTTGTGCTCATGATTCCTTTGGATATTCAGGCTATTTTTTAGTTCCATATGAATTTTAGGGTTGTTTTTCTATTTCTGTGAAAAATGGCATTGGCATTTTGATAGAGATTGATTGAATCTGTAGATTACTTTGGGAAGGATGGTCATTTTAATATCAATTCTTCCAGTCCATTTACATGGGATGTCTATTTCTTTGTGTACTGTTTAGTTCTTCCAGAGTGTTTGATAGTTTTCCTTGTAGAGACCTTTCACCTCTTTGGTTAAATATATTACTAGTTAAAAAAATTTTTTTTTGTAGCTATTGGAAATGGGATTGCCTTCTTGATTTCTTTTTCAGATATTTCATTATTGTTGGATAGAAACACTACTGATTTTTGTATATTGATTTTGTATCCTGAAATTTTACTGAATTTGTTTATCAGTTCTAAGAATATTTTGGTGGCATCTTGGTTTTTCTAAATAAAAGATCATGTCATCTGCAAAGAGTGACAATTTGACTTTCTCTTTTCCAAATTGGATGCCTTTTATTTTTTTTCCTCTTTCCTGACTTCTCTGGTGAGGATTTCCAGTACTGTGTTGAATAGGAGTGGTGAAAGTGGACCACTGGGGGTCTGTTACTTTCCCTTTCCTCACATTGGGGAGTCTCTCTCAGCTCCCTGGTTGATCCTGGCTGGGCAGGTTGCCTCATTTCCTTTCCTTTCCTTGCTTTAGGTGTTTCCTGTCACTTCTCTATTGAATTCCAGTGTTCTGTCTTGGTGACAGAACAAGACTATACTATTTGAAGTATAATTATCTACTCACTATTTTGGTTCTTCCAAGTGGAGGAGATGAGTAAGAGATGCCCGTAATCAGCAATCTCAAAGCCTTCTTCATCCTACTCTTTTTGAGGGTTTATTGAAATTACTCTTTTAAATGAACATTGATCACTGGTGTTTAGTGAAATCTGGTAGAGATATATTCAGCCTACTTGAAGCCTTTAGCATCTGCAAGACAGGGTATCCCATGGAATTGCCACTGGGCTATGTGTGATAGAGATGTTCCTAAAATATGTAGCACACTTACATGTTAGAACATATTTTAAATGCATTGGAAACATTCATCTTGTGATGAATTTTCTTCTAAAGCAAAGAATGACTCCAATGTTATTTTTTAAAATCTAATTTCCTTTAAGTGATGCTGGTATGGGAAAACCCATATGCTAATGATGTCCTCTGGGCTGGCTTGCCAAGTACTCATCAGTAAAGCACACCCTCTCCCATCCTGTTTTTTAAAGTAGCTTTTAAAAATATTTTAAAACCACACAACTTGAATAGAAGAAAAATAAGAAATACAGATAAGCAAAATCAACAACAAAATATAAAACCCACCCATAATCCAAGTGTTGAGTAGCTAACTTATACTTGCTTCTTGCTGGGTAGACTTCGCCAAGAAAATTCTTCATCAGAGCTACTTTGTCTTCCCTGGAGTATCAGCAGTATCAGCAGGGTTTCACCAATTTCAGTGAATATTTTTGTAAATGTAGTCCTATTTGCAAATTTCCTCCACTTTCCCACTTTAAGAAAACATTGTTGGAGACTTGTGATCATCTCCCCAGCGTTGATTTTACCTCCACCACAATGAGTAACAACCATGTTGTTTATGAGGGATTGACCCAACCCCTCAATTTTAGAGATGGGTCCTGTGTGGTATAAACCAATCCAGGCAATCCCATTTTCCTTGGCTGAAGTAACCTGGGTTCCTGGGTTAAGTAACTCAGGTCTAAACCAATTGATATATACTATTCCTTTAGCCACAGGGATTGAATTGCATGTGATCCAATCAGCTGGTAACTTGAAATGTTTGCTGGAAATTCTGGAATACAAAATTTTCTCTCCTGGATATAAAATGTGGATGTGAAATATGGAACTTCTATAGCCATTAAGGAAGCCAGGCCAAAGTCCAATCTTTAATTCATTGATCATCTTACAGTTGTGCTCATCCCGCTAATTAGCCTATTCAGTGAGATTTTAAGTTTAACAGTTGTATTTATGTTCAAGGTCTGTAATTGGTTCTTTTCCTGTTCTTGGTTAAAACTGCCTGTTCCTGTTTCAAAAATGCAATCCCCTCTCATATATCAGAAGATATTGATTCGATTTAAATTACTTTTCTGCTTGTTCTGTTAATTATTTCTTCAGGCATAAGTTTTTTGTAGTGGAATGTATGACCTTTCTTCTGAAGTGTTGGCATTCTCCAAATGTTGGTGACTCTTTAAGTATACCTTGCATTTGGCATTCCCTGCTAGACTTCTTGTTGCCTCTGCTTCTATATTCCACTTGTGAAAAGGAAAGAAGCATCTTTGGAGCTTGTATACTGCTTTGCTTTGAGAGAGTCAGAGATGTGTAGAATGTACAGCCGAATGGGGTATTTCACTGGCTGTGCTCTAGGCTTGAATGTTCCCTAGTTCTCTGGCTGCCTTGAGGTACTCATTCTCCTGCGGATTTTGGGCTCTTGGCTGCTACCACTTGTGGATATGGAGTGCACTTTGTATCACTTCTGCTTTTTTATCAGCTTTATTTAGTGATGAGCTACTGCACATGTCTGGGGATGCCATTTTCCCCTTCTGTCTAATCTATTGTCTTTTGGTTTCTCAGAGATTCTTCACAGTTTCAGGTCAGTGAGACATTCCCATCTAGTTTTTATATGTGGCCACATATTGATTTAAAAATATTCTTCTATAATTTTACTATTTAAGAGCAGGGAGGACTGGGAGTGGTGGCTCATGCCTGTAATCCAAGAACTTTGGGGAGACTGAGGCAGGAGGATCACTTGAGTTGAGATCACAGGGAGACACTGTCTCTACAAAATAAATAAATAAATAAATTAGGCCAGGCACAGTGGTACAACCTGTAGTCCTAGATACTTGGGAAGGTGAGGTGAGAGGATTGCTTGAGCCCAGGAGTTTAAGGTTACAGTGAGCTATGATGGTGTCACTGCACTCCAGCCTGGGTGACAAAGTGAAACTCTGTCTCTAAAGAAAAAAAAGAAAGAAAAGCAAGGAATCACTGTCCTGTGTATTCATTCTATTGTCTTGAAACTAGAACTATGATTATTCTTGGTGTGCTTGTCATCTTTACCCTTAGTGGAAAAATGGTCAGATCTCAGAAATATTGTATTTTAATCCCCTGGCATAGATATTATGTCAGAAGTGGTCACGTGATCCAAACTAGTTCAATCAGAGATAATCCTGGGAATTGTTTTCTTTCTAGAATAACCAGGCAAGAGGAGTTCTCTTTTCCACAGACTTGGAATCAAATATGAAAGACTAGGACGTCAGAAAGATATCTTCTCCACAAGGGGTAAGCCTATGAAAAAAGAACCAAAAGAGAAGAAGTATAACACTCAAGAGGCAAAGACAAAGAGATTGAGTTTAAATGATGTTATTTGAGCCTCTGAGTCCTTTGGAGTCCAGCTAGACCACTAAACCATCCATTTACATTGACCAGGAAATCCTTTATCATTTTTGCTCAAGACAGAGTTGAGTTTTCTCTCATTTTGCAACGAAAATTTGGTGCCTCATTTGCTATTTTGCAGTTACATTTGAGTACTGCTAAGCTAACCTTGATTTTATCTGATGTTTGTATGGAACTCAACTTTCTAATAACTTGAATTTTTCTTAGATTTATACTTTCCTGATATTTGTCTTTTGCCCCTGGGCTTTAAACAATCATAGTGTGTACTGGGCTCCATTATCGTTTTAGATTTCCAGGCATAGTTTTTCCTCGGGCAACTTAGGAATCACATGAAATGCTCATCAAAAATGCAGATTTCTGGGCCATGTGCCTGAAGGATCTGACACTCTGCATTTTTATATCACTCCCAGGGGGTTCTGTTATGCACTAAAGTTTGGAAATCAGAGTCCTAGCACTAGACCCTCATCTGTGAATGATTTCTGCTGTACCCCCAAATACCTTCAGTCACTGCCTGCCCTTGATCAGTTTCTTTGTCCATCCATGGATAGAAGATGAATGAGCAATGGTAGGCTACATGGACTTCCCATTGGCCATGTGACCTTGGGCTTTCCCGTTCACTCGCTTAGCTAGGAAAAATTTCCCGGATGAACCACCTCAAACCTCAGCTCCTTGACCTTTGGAAATCTGAACTTATATTTTCTAAATAAGTGCATTAACGTGTAGTTTTCTGTATTTTTGGCAGCTGCAGTTTTTGAAACGGACCTAGAATTACTAAAACTCAGCCCAAATCAGAGTTAAAAATATATATTTAAATGGAACATTGCAGGATATTCAAACATTTTTCTTTTTCTCTCCCTTTCTATGAGATAGGCAGGAGAGGCCTGCCGTTCCTCTTCTGTAAGGTGAGCCCATTTATCTTGTAGGCTTGTAGGGCAGCACCATATCCAAGTCTCTAAACAAAGATATCCAAGGATTTCCTTAAATCCGACAAGATTGTTGATAACTATGATACATGAGGCTAAAGGAAAAATTATGGGCTAGGCATAGAAGCCAGCTTTGAGCTCTAAGCCTTTCCCATGGCCTTGGCCCCCAAAATAGTAGCTCCCTGCTAGCGACCATCTGAAGCCTTGATCTGACCATGCCAAAACATTTGGCATGTGGAAGCTGGCCCAGCTGTCACAGAGCAAGGAGATAAATAAATTCCCCAGTGTTGATAGACTTCTCTTGGACCTCTGTATATCCTCGCAGTAATCGCTGTTTAAAAACACCCGATAAAATTCAAGAATGTGCCTCTAATAACTCACTCATCCCAGGCTGGGCTGGATTTCCGAAGCACAGATGCCGAAGGCTGTTCCTCTACAGGAGGTGGGCAGGGTGCTGCCAGCACAGCTGGGGCATTCTTCACGTCACCTACCCCCAAACCAAAGGACCCATCTACTTCAGGTCAGGGGTGTGGGGCACCTCCTGTTGCTTGTCTCTCTCTGCCCAACCCCCTCTGCAGATTCCTTGAAACTTCATGTAGAAAGTTTGAGTTTCTTCTCTTGACACCATTTGTTCTCCCCCTGCCCTTCCTCCCCTAAATCTCCTCCACGATACAAGGGAGGGCCTAAGACTTTGAGTTGAGATGTTAAAAAATATGTCTTTTAACTTAACAAGGAAGAGGATATGCAAGGTCAAGAAATTTGTGTCAAGAAATTGCAAGAAGCAACATGGAGTTTATTTAGGTGCCCTTGTCTCAGAAGATCAGGCAGAAGTCAGACCAGTTTATGCTGAAAAGCGTAATACTGATGTATTCCCAGCATTTCAGACAAATCCAGGGGAAAGTTCCTCCAATTTATTGTATTCAGACATTTCTCACCAAAACAACTTAAGGCAAGGACAGGAAGGGATGGGAAGCAAGGGAGGTCATGGGACCAGGTTGAAGAAACACCATACTTAGATGTGGAGAAATTGTTCTTTCTCTTGGAAAGGACCTCTGCAATAAAAGAGGAGGCTTGGGTACCCACCAACCCTGGAGATTAACGTTGTTTCCTTCAATAAATATTGAATGTCCTGTGTGTGCCAGGCACGGTACTGGATGCTGAGGATGCAATGGTGATCAAACAGATGTGATTCCTCACTTCATGGAGCTGTGATCCGGAGGGGCTAATCCTATTAATAGATAAATCATTAAATAAACCTGTGAATGCAGCAGAGCTAAATGCTGCAAAGGAGAGGTCTACCAGGCTATAAGAGCCAATGTGGAAGGCAATTTGACTTCAGCTACAGGGTCAGGAAAAGCTTTCCTGAAAAAGTGATGACTGGATTGAGATCTGATGATGAGCAAGAATTGGGTTGATAAAGGAAGGCGGGACAGAGCAGGAGCTGAGGCCTGCAGGGTCTGGGGCATGGGAGACAGAAGACACTGCAGGGAGGACCCTGGGCTGGAGCATGAGCAGCCATGGGGAAGGAACAGATCAAGGAGGTCCTTGCTAGTGGACCATGTAGAGCATTTTAGTCTTTGTCATACAAGCCAGAGGGAGCCACTGAACAGTGGTGGTGATGGCAGTGGTGGGGGGTGTGTTTAGATCTGTGAGAAAGGATTGTTCTAGAAACAGTGTGAGTGAGGGTGGGATGGGGAAGGTAGATTCCAGGTGGGAAGAGCAGATGGGAGGGTTTTGCAGGGCCCCAGGCAGGACATAATAGTAGCTTGGGCCAAGTTGGTGGCAGTGATGGGAATAGAGATTTAAGAGGGGAAATTGACGGGGGAGGGGGGGTGTTTGTGCTAACCTTATCACCTTCAAGCTGCCTCGAGTGTAAAGCTGACTGGAGCCTAAAGGTGGCAGGCCCATCTGTGCTGGGAGAGCAGATCAAAGCTAATTACACTGGTCTGAACAAACAGCGCTGGCACTGGGTCCCACATTTTCCATCCCTCCTGAATCTTCAGCATGAACAGGCACTGAAAATGAAGCACGAGGGAAGGAAGCAGGCACCCCGGTTATTTTTAGCAAGCTATAGGAAATAGCCAACATTCTAATTTGAATCCTTCTCATTAAAACCCAGAGCCTAACCTCACACAGTTCTTGTTTCTAATGTCTGCAAACTTCTCTTTTTCCAGATAATTGACAATAGGCCCCCACGGAAGTATTCTCTGCATTTCTGCAAAAATTTAGGAAACATTAGGTTTGACACCATCATCATGTTTGCCAAGGCAGCAAAAAATCCCAGCCGGCACAACTGCAAATGTGATGAAGTGGAGCAGCGAGGACAGCGTGGAATGACTGATTGTTTCGGATGCTTCCAGCAAGTTTCCAATGTTGGAGTATTCCATCGTCTTTGAAGTGGGAGAAGCAGGGAGTGGCTACTTTGGAGACGTCATGGTCACGTTGGCAGGGTTTCCTTTTCTTTCTTTTCTACCTTTGCTCTCTGCCCTTAAGTGATTCCTTGAAGTTAGAATTATTTTGAAATATTTTCATGTAATGACATCACAAACTTTCTTATATTTAGTAAATTGAAATTATATAGAATAGTCGGTGTCTGATTTATTACTCAGCTGATCTTCATGATGACATCCCAGGCCCTCCACAGGCTGGGACCTGGGCCATGTTATTTGGCTTCTCTGGGTCTTAATTCCCTGGCCTGTACCGTGAACAGGTCTTGGACTAGCTCAACATTTCTCCAGTTTCAGTCATTCTGGTTTCACCTTCACAATATTGGCATGTTGACTCTCATTCATATTATTACATATTTCTTACATATTCTTAACATTTTTCCCCTTTAAACTGACTCATTTCCCCATTCCAGAAAGTTCTGCATAAGTGCTGATGTTAAGTCCTCTTCCGGTGCTCGCAAATGATGTTCACTTCTGGTCTTACCTGCGCAGGTGTATTTCCCATGGCTACTCAAACCCTCAGGTTTGGCCACATCAGTGTTCTTGTTGCTCTTTGTAGATAGCATATGCATGCTGTTCCTTCCATTAAATCAATAATTTAATAAGCAAAGAGAAACTCTGACCATAGCTAAGAAAGAAGAAATTGAGAAGGCACACGGTTGGGTGGACAAGCTACCTTTGACCAGTAGGCCAGGACAGTCCTCAGGGTGGGCAGCTGTTGGGGACAGTCAAGTGTAAAGAGGGGTTAGTCCTATGTGGGCTATTTTTTCCTTAAAAGGGAAAAGAGGGTTACTCTGCCCATTGATGGGGTAGATTTCTGAGTCCTCCTCTGGCTTCTTCAACCTCTCTAACAGAGAAGAAATCTGGTTGGAAAATTTGTGGTGAATAATCAATAATTGCTGTAGAAATCCATTAATTCACTTGTTTACTGTGTATGATGTGTTTATTCCATGCTAGTCACTAGAGATACAAAGATAATTAAGATATTTTTCTCTATCCTTTAGGAGCTAAAGGTTTGCAGGAGGCAAAAAAGTAAACAGGCCAGTGTAATAAGGCATCACAGACCCTATAGCAGAAGTACATTCCAGGCACACTGTGGCTGCGGGAGAGGAAGTGTCATTTCTATTGGAGGATCAAGCAAAGCCTTACGAGGAATGTAACCTTAAAGCTGAGTCTTGACTAAAAAGCAAGTGTGAGTTGAGTAAATGGGCAGTGGAGGAGGGAATGCCCTTCCAGGGAGAATAAACAGAGTTATAGAATTATGTGGCATATTCAGAAAACTGCATGCAATTTAGTAGGTGTGGAACATATAGTTTGCTCTATGTGTGTGTGTGAGAGAGACAGTGACACACACATACACATGCGCGCACACACACACACACACACAGAGAGAGAGAGAGAGAGAGAGAGAGAGAGAGAGAGATTGATGTGGGGCTCCAGCGTCTATACAAGAAGGAGCTATTGAAGACTTAAGCAAGGGGGTGGTATGTTCAGAGCTGCATACTAAAGCTCACTCAGCTGGGTAGAATATAATTGGGTTGGAAGGGGATCCCCAATTATAAGCAAAGAGACCAATTAAAACACTTTTATAAGGGTGAAGGAAACCAGAATATGTCACCCCCAAATATGCTTCTTTGACGTAAGTATTTTTGAGCTAAAGGCAATTAAGAAGCAGCAAACAGAGGGAGGGCTCTCTGTATGCTACCCTTTCTTTGCCTAAAGATGGAATATAAATTCTCCTTTACTGGTGTAAAGGAAAATAAAAATCTCAGACACTCCCCCCTCCAACTCCTTATGCAAAAGGGAAGAGCAAGGCTGGAGGCTGAGTCATGCAACACTCTCTTCCAATAGCTGAATAGCTGTTACTAATGTTATGCTTCAGCCAGATCCCCATGGAAAGGGAAAAGGCCTCAGGCACCTGGAGAAGGACTGACTGCCCCATAGATCATTCATAAGGAAATTCTGTGTTGGCTTCCCATAAACAAGGACATGCAAATTTTAACTTAGGGTCTGCAGGCAAAGTCTAGCTCTTAAAACTAACGTCTGTTTGATTCCACAGTAATGATGTTGATTACCAGTTTATCTTCTCAGGTGCAGAACAGAGACAGAACAGGATCAAACATTCTTCCACCTACCCAGGGATGTCTACATAACTGATGCACCCTTGACTCCCTTTTTCTCTTCTAACATTATCTTATATAAAATCTAGATTTCCTGGGACTCATAGGAATGTAACCATTTTCCTCACCCCTCTCCATTTTTTTTCTGTACACCCTCCCTTAAATACTGAAGATCCCAAATTCTCCTTTGGAAAACAGTCACAGATTTGTCTTTTTGTGTTTTTCCTGAGCTGCTCTCAAACTTTGGCTTAATAAACTCCTATTAATTGAGACCTTTGCCTCAGTCACTTGTCTTGAGTTGTCCCTGGAAACAACTCCAGTAAAGGAATCTGCAAACAAACCTTACTCCGTTACTTTCTTCCTATGTGTTTGCCTTCCCATAGTTTCCCACCTTTGGATCCTAAAACAGCTTCCCTTTGTCCTATCATTTTTCTATAAACTTACTGTTTTGTTTTTTTTTCCCTGAAGATGCTACATAAGCCAGAGTACTGAGGCACTGCTTTCTTTCTTTGAGGATTCTCTCATGTGCTGTACACTGCACATGCTAGTAAACTTGCTTATTTTTCTACTATTAACCTGTCTTTTGTTACAGAGACCTGTCTCAACTACAACCTAAGAGGGTTGGGGAGAAATTATGTTTCCTCCCAGACAAGAGTCCAGGTGAGCGATGATGAGGACAGCAGCATTGGGTAGAGAGAGAGAGAGACAGATTTGGGAGATATCAAGAAGGATGTGATGAGGGAGGTGGGGAATGAGAGAGTGTGAGATGTTTAGGAAGATGCCAAAATTTTGAGATCTAGTGATTGGGTAGTGGTGCTATTCTCAGAGTGGGAACTCAAGAGGAAGGATGCAATTTGGGGAAACATGAGTTCCTTTTGGAACTAAATTCCTTGGAGTCTGCGTGGCACATTGACAGGGTATGGAGCAATGACACCTGAGTTCTTTCCCAGCTCTGTTGGTGTGACCTTGTCCAACTTCCCATCCTCTCTGAGTCTTCTCTTTTTGTCCATAAGATATGTTATTACCAGCTCTGGCTTGGTTTCCAATCTCGTAGAGAAGAGACCTGTGAAAGTGCTCTGTAAATGTCTTCACAATGTAAATATTTATGTCTTCAGGGAAGTGCAAGGTGTAAAAGACGGAATTATCAGCACATTGAGCTTATAAATAGGCAGAGTGCGTGGCTGCTTTGCATTGTGACTGAGCATCCATTAGAGACCACTCTGCAAAATTGCCAGTGTCACTGCCTGTCCTTTGACCATGGTAGCTTAATTCCTATGGGCCTAAAGGATATTGCTTCACTACTCATCACCCTGATTCAAGAATCATCACACTTCTTTATTTTTTTCTAAATCTTACTAAACTGCTTCTCCATCCCCACTTGCCAAAGTGAGCAAGACATCCATCTTCCATCGAAACTGGGATTCCCATTAGATTACTCGAGTATCCTGTTTTTCGTTGGTGAAATAAATGGGGTTCGAGACATATAGGTAGGTGAGAAATATCACACAGGCAGCTCACCTTTGCATGAACAGGGTAGAGCGATTGTCCTACCCTAGGTTTAGGCAAATCCTAACACCTGTTAATTCAGATGCAGGTCTTTGTGATTAGCTGCCTGTAGGACTCAGGCAAAGGTGAGCCTGGGGTACTGATTAATCTGTGCAAAGGGTTGGCACACTCAGCATTATCATCCAGACTAAAGAATCTACTAAAGGATCTACTTTTGGTTGTCATTGTGTCTGTAATTTGCTATAGAATAATTCTATCACTTATAAATGAGGAGAGTTGCAGTGTTAATAGTGTGGGGGAAATCAAGATGGAAGGAAAACCCCAAGACTGAACAAGTGAGGGAGGGGCTGGTGAGGAGGGCTGAGTGTATACGGTGGAGCTGAGGTCTACTTAAGAGGAAGAGGTAAGAAATAAAGACTTTACTTAAAAAAGAGGCCAGAATAGAGAGAAATAGGAATAACAAAGCATTTTGAGTTACTTGAAAAGAACTCAAAAACCTTTCTTAGAATTCTTCCTTGCAAATTGAAAAACATGAACTTGGAGCAATCACTCTTAGAATAAGCATTTCTGACCAGTGTATTTTAAATGCTAACTCACCCCTTGGGAGGGGAGAAAAGCCTACATCTTAGGGTGGTGTTTCTATAGTAGAATATATGTACCACTCTGAAATGATTGTTAGAGGTAAACATATGAAAATCCTCCTGTTTTAATAGTTGCATATTTATTTTCCTGATTGTCATTATCTTTGGCGAGTCATTATGGCGTTCTATTTAAGACGATGACACATTTTCTTTTAAAATAAATTCATTTAAGCAAAAAAACGTTGATTTATAGAGAAAGTATTTATTTAAAAAAAATAGATGGTGGTAGAACAACCTCAAACATCGTGCTACATTTGCGTGGAAAAGTAGGAAGGGGAAACAACCTGCCTGGTCTGCGATGGCTCACAGACTGTTGAATCAGGTTATCTCAGCACGTGGGCCTTTCTCTCATGGTGATTATTCTCTAAAGATGCAAATATTTCCGGGAAAGGGCTATATCTCAACATAGTATAATATAAGCATATTTCTTAATGATCCACTAATACTTTTGGCCAGCACATATCTGGAAAGAAAGGCGTCTCCTGGGCTGCAGTGGGCGTGAGGAGCCAACTCCTAGACAGTTCACCAACCTCACAATTTCATCCAAACCTTGAGCAGAGAGAGCCCTTGGGTGGCGGTAGTGTTGACTACAAATGACCTAAAGGTTTACCTCTAATGTGGTGATGAAGGCTGCTTGAGAGCAGACTTATAGCATTATGACATTTTTTATATGCAAACCGTGCAATGCCTGGAAGAGTGCTTTACATATATACAGGGGCTCAGTAGTCATTGTTGAATGAAAGAATAAATGGCTGTGAACATTGCAGGTATTTTACAGTTACATTTGCAAATGAGGGGAAAGAGCTCAGGTTTGGAA